GCAGCACTGTGGGCCTGGGGGCAGCTGTGCCAGGGGCAGGGGAACACAGAGGTATTATTTCATGCCTGCCTGGTGTTCTGATTTGGAGTATATAGCAGACGCAAAAAAGCAACACGTGCAAGTCCCAGTGGACCCCAACTGGCTCATTTTAATGGCCATTTGCCCCGTGCAGCAGACAGCCCTTCTCTGCCTTTGCTTGGTGCAGTCTCTTCAGCAGCACTGTGAGATGTGTGCCCCACAAAAGGGACGAGGCGAAAATAGGATGCATTTGTCTCACACCTTGTGGGTCGCAGCACTGCTGCGGGGCTCATTTCAGCCTCGTAGCTCCTTGAGGTTCCCCCAGTGGTACCTAAAGGCCAGGCTGTTCCCTGCTGTGTGTCCATCTTTTCCTGACACTTTAGGATAAAATCCCAGGTTAATATCAAAGAAACAATTTTTGTACACAGAGGGTAAGTTGACTTTTCAATGTGTTACACTCATTCATCTTCACCAGAAAAAGTGGAGGGTGAGGCTGGTTGTGATCTGCCTCTCTGCTTTACTGTAGTGTAGCAGGTTTGAAAACAGTTATGAAACTCTCCTGCACCCTTTCTCTTACCATTTGCCTATCACAATCATCACTCCAAGGGATTAACAGTTAGAAATAATGCTTTTGAAACGGAGGTAGATTCAAAACTTTACTTAGAGCAGAAACCTTCCTGTTTGCACTTTGCAGAGGCATCTAATGGGGGGGGACTGTGCAGACCCTGCTGCTGCAAGAGAGCTTGTGCTGCTGCTGATAGGCACGCAGAGATTACTCCTCTCCTCACCACTGCAGCCACTCCCCCAGCTCTGACCACCAGAGCTGAGCCAGAGCACAGTCGGATAGGGCAGGGGAACATACAAGATCTGGTCTTGCCCCTCCTTTCAGTTTGTCCTTCTCAGTCTCTCTTTTATATAAACCTCGTTTCACATGTCTGTGTTTTCTCTCCTCCATGCTATGGCAGTGGTGCTCCATGCTGATGAGACAGTGCGTGGTACAACCGCAGGCAGTCATTTTTCAGGTAATTTCTAGGGTAATGAACACCCGTCTCTTGCTTTTTCACCTACCAAGCAGAAGGTCAGGCTTCCTGGCTGTGCAAGGAGGGACCCCTGGCCATGATGGTCATTCCAGGCTGTTTCTCAACAGCAGCAGTGAGAGCACACTAGTGCAGGAGCCAACTCAGATATCCCTTCTGCTGCTCCCACCCCAATTAGCTGGAGAAGCTCTTGGAAAGGGTCAGCAGAAGGGTTCAGCAGAGGGGTCTCAGTGAGGCCGTGGGGTGAGGGGCTGCTCCATGAGTGCTGCCTTCCCCTGGGGTTTCCTCTCTTCTCCAGATGGGATGCCTGAAGGGAAGAGATCTGCCTGGGAGGAATGGGAAGAGGGGTCACCACTGTGCCCCTCATGAGTGGTTCAACACCAAACACTGTGACTCCACAGTGTAAGAGAGGTTTTAGCTTTTTCAGGTGGTTTTAGAGGGTCCTGGTCCCTCCATGGGAGTGAGGAGAGCTGCGGACAGTACCCATAGTGTGGTTTTAGGGTGAAGGCTTCTCTGCTCTGCACTCCTGATGCCCCACTCCTTGAGGGCCAGAAGATGCCTCTGCTGGCCATCACCTCTTGCAGTACCTTGCTGTTGGCAGCACTATTTTTGCTTTTCTGCCCACAGGCAAGTGCTGGTCACTGCCGCTCTGCCAGCCCAGTGCTGGCCCTGACCCCGCAGCTTTGTGGTGCAAACTATAACTGCAGAGGTGGATGTGATGTGATGGGGTTGCTCCTCCACTGGGAATGCATGATGAGAGGGGAGTCAGCAATCAGAAGGGCTGCCCTTCATCCTGCACTTCTGCCTCAGTGCTGGAAGCAGTGGTCAGTGCGTGCTCCTTGTGGCTGTTAACTGATGGTCGTTCCAAGAAGGGAACTGAGCACAGCAAAGTAGTTGTGAAATCCCCTAAAATCAGAAAATCCGTTACAATCCCGCTATTCTTACCTCTGGGAAAAGTTGCCAGGCCATGGCAAAAGACATGGCAAAAGACTTCCTGCAGCTCTCATCTGCAGGAAGTTTTTGGGACCAAAAGCAGGGAAGGACCCCAAATCTCCATTTTGCACATCTTCAGCTCATTCCTACCACAGTGCTGCTTGTCTGTGGGCTCTCCATCCACACTATGCTGAGCAATCATAATGCTTCCAGTCCCTCCTGCAGATGTTCCATGGTTTGGGACTGTGCCCCTGTATATTGCACCAACTCACTGTGGTGCAGTGACGTGGAAGAGCACAGGCTGCCTGTGCCACAGTCTGGTTGCTGCTTGGTTGACACTAGAAATGGTCACTTTCTCCAAAGTCAGAGGGCTGCTCATGGCTCATTTGCATGGTGCTTCCAGTCTTTCCAGGTTAAAAGTCCCGGCTGTGGTCCCATTTCTCCCAGGGTCAGTTCCTTGGACTCCTGAAGGGAAGCAAGCTTTGGAGTTATGTATTCCTGTGTCTGAGAATTGCAGTTGAGGGCTTAGGCTAGTTCCAGTTGGGTTTGTAGTTTGGATGTGCACCTCCTTCCTCAGTCCCCTTATGTGACCCGTGGCAAGGGTCCCATTCCAGCTAGGTGCTTCCTCCCAAACTACATGTGTGCAGCTCTCACGCTGTAATTGGGAAACCACATTCACTCTCTGCCTGTTGGAAGGGGTGGATCTTCCTCATGAGAGGATCCAAAGAGATTTTCTAGTCTTCATAGAGCAACATGGGTGAATTCAGGCATCCCTCCCCAGGGATTTGTGTGTGCTCTTCTAGAGATACCAGAAATTCCAAACAGCAGCACACAAGGACAGGTTTTTCCTCTGCTGTGCTGCCAGCCCATCCATGCTTGTGCATCCCCAGCTGCTTGGGATGTCTCTGCAGGGCTATTGTTTCTGTGATGTATTGCCAGATTAGGGTTTTGGGGAAAGAAAAAATCTAGCAGTGCTTCCATATGTGCACGTACCCTGCATAGGGGAGAGGTGGGGCTGGAGGCTCAGGAAAACATGGAATGGTGTGGGAAGGCTGAGAAATGCATTATAGTGGCATGTTGAATGAGAAGAAGGAGCTTTGATTACACTTCCAGGGAGAAGGAAGGCTGGGACCATTATCAGCATCCTGTGCAGAGGAGGGAGGTTCCCAGGGCTGTCCTCTCCCAGGAGCACAAGTGGGAGTGAGTCAGAGGTGTGAGAGTCCTTGGAGCAGTGGTGGCAGGCAGAACGGCCCAGGTGAGTGATGGCAAGGCAAAAGTGAGGCCACAGAGGGTGTTGGAGGAAGCGTGAGCTGAAAGAACTGAGGAACAATGCAACTTTAATGCAAAGGTTATGTGGGATCCTAGGAGACAAGTCAAAGGACTCTGATGCATGGACTGGGTGCAGGACAAGGGTGGCCAGCAGCTAGTCCCTGGTAAAATGTATTTAGCTTGCTCATCTGCAAGAGGTTTGTATGGGGGATCCTTCAATGTGACAGGCTGTACTCCTAACTCATGCACGTGGTGTCTGCAGAAAAAACATGTTTATTACACAGAACTGTTAATACAGGATTATCCATGTAAATTACCTTCTGTTTGAGTGAGACCTGAGCTACAGAGATACCAGCGTGCATTCCTGGCTAAAGTACTGAGTTAGTGGCAAGTACCAGATTATGTGCTGGGTTGTCAGAGAAACTTGCGGGAAGGAGGAGGATGTATTCACTCAGATCAGCTTTTGTTTCCTTAAGAAAAAAAAATTAACTTATTTTGATGTCACATCCCTGGAGCTGTACAAGGCCTGGTTGGATGGGGCCTTGAACAGCCTGGTCTAGTGGAAAGTGTCCCTGCATGGTAGAGGGCATATATAATAAGTTGGTCTTTAAGGTACCTTCCAGTCCAAAACAGTCTGGGATTCTGTGTTTTTCTGAGTTTTGTTTTGGTTACCCAAAAACCCCCATGTGATCCTGGGTTCATCTGCATTTCTTCACCTCTGCACGGCTTCTGCATTGACTTAATCTTCAGGAATTCGTTAGAGACTGGCATCACAGTGGCTGCTCTTCAGTTTACCTGTTCCCACTGTAGTTCTTTATTTGAAGTCAATCTCCAGTTGATATGGGCATGACTGCTGTCTCACAAATAAGGGACTAAAACTTAAAGGGCAGATAGCAGGGAACAGAGAGCTTTGAAAGAAAACTTCACGGATTTGTGGGAATGATCCTGACAATAAGAAATCATTGAAAAGGGCAAATGAAGATAAGCTTTGTGCCATATGCATATACATCCTTTAGATACCTGCATTGGCCTCAATGGCTATAGAGTGCTGTAGCAATGGAGACTTAAACAGGGTTATAGGACACAAACACTGATTTCTGAGATCTGTGCTTGCTTACAACAGCCTCTTTCAGGCAATGGGATTAGGAAATTATTTGGAAATGACACAGTGTTCTTACTACAGTCAGGTGCTTTATTTAAAAATAACTTGGATTTAGAAACGGTTATCTACAAATGCATCCATTAAGCAAATTCTCTGTATATACATACCTTTTTACTGTAATGATGAAGAAATGCAACATTCCTAAGAAAAGGGGAATGGGAAACCTGTTCCCACCTTCTCATTAGTGCATGTCCCCTCAAGTGCCAGCACTGAAATGTGGAGAGTGTGGAGGTTAAGAGGCATGACCATTTTCCTAACAAGAAAGTAGCTTGTACTTGGCAGGTAATCTACAAATTTTCCTCTTTCAGGAATGCCTTGTTACATATTAATGAGTTTGTCTTTGGTTTTATAAAGAAAACCTATTTTTGTGTTCTCTGAGAACACTGGTGATAAGCACAGACCTGCTTATTGAACAGTTTGAATGTTGAAAAGCCCAGTGTAAATGGGCAGTGCCTTTAACACTGGCTGAACAAAGGATTTTTGAGTTCTGTATTGCATCTATTTTCTGTTGGCACAGGCAAATAAAAGCTCTTGATTAGTGAATTTATTTAAACTAAAATGTCTTTTGTTTCTTTTTCCAGGCAACAGAATACTCAGCCATGGCCTCACTAGCTGGTGGATTGGATGACATGAAGGCCAATATAACCAGCCCCACTTCAGCAGATTTGGGAGCAAGTGTTCCTGGGCCTCAGTCCTATCCTATTGTCACAGGTAAATGATTTTCAAACACTGGTAAGTAGTGTGAATTGTCTGTACCTTCATATTGCATGATGAGGTCCTTTATGGAAGAATTGTGTCATATGTGGAGTAATTTGCTCAAAAAGTCTCTTTTTGAATGTGATTTCATAGGAGCTCTTGTTGAAAGAGAGCTGAATGGCTTGTGTAAGTCATTTGTGTATGTTTGTAGCTGACAGATGGAGCCTCCATACCTCTTGTTCAGGAAAGGATGTGCCCCTCCACCCCAAAGTACATCTTGAATATCACCGCATCACAGAAAAGCAGAATGCTTGCCTCTGCTTTTGGGCTTTGGAGCTATTTTTTCATAAATGCACCTGGTATATTTGACTGGATGGAGCTTTTATGACAGTTCAAACTAGCCTGAATTTTGGAAGCTCATTTTATACCATTTCTGAAGTGTACCCGTGCATTAAAGTTGAGCATTTAAATGAAAACCAAAGGCTGTTTGCTCAAGGAATGCCAAATCGTGTGCATTTATTCAGCAGGTGTAGAGCAAGAGTTAAGGAACAGCTAGGGTCTGATAAATGCTTTGGTCACCTATTTATTTGGGATTGACCCCATTGCTTGCGAGGGAATTGTCCAAATGGTAATCTAATTATTAAATTGTATCCCACATTAGTTGTGCAAGTCAGAAAAAAGGAGGGCTTTTAAAATTTAAGGCTCTGGGTTTCATAGGAATGTTAGCTCAGTGTGTTACTTCTGTGTCCAGTTGGTGCAAATTTCATTGGATAGTCTCTGTTTTGACAAAGATTGGATGTAATGCTTTATTTTGTAGCTACTGTGGAAGATTATACTGTTTTTTATAAAGTATTACTATGTCTTTAATGCCTTAAAATCTCATCCAGCAGAGGAGAAGTTTTGAAAACAAGTGTTGTTACAAAGTGGTTTTAATCCAGTAAAGTATCAGTCTTCAACTTTTTTTGACAAAGTTTAGGAGAATTCAGAAGAGATTAGAGAGTGAAAGAAATACATGTGTAGCTTGAAGTGGGATGGGAGAGACTTCTTTCAATATCTGTCTGGTTCTGAATGGATGGTTTGAGTGTTGGACTCATCGATAAGAAAGGTGTCTAGGCATGGATGGATGGATGATGGATGGATGATGGATGGATGGATGGATGGATGGATGGATGGATGGATGGATGGATGGACAGAAAGAGGGACTTCTGGAGGTGTGTGGCTTGTAAGATGTGAGGAGATATAGCAGTGATACAGATATATCTGTATGTCCATCAGGGGTCTGTGCTGGAACCAGCGTTATCTAATATCTTCATCAATGACACAGACAGAGGGATCATGGGCACCCTCAGCAGATTTGCAGGTGACACCAGGCTGAGAGTGTCATGACATCCCTGAAAGACAGAGCCATCCAAGAGGGACTTGGAAAATGCCTAGAAGTGGCCCATGGGAATCTCATGAAGTTTAAAAATGATGGTGGTGCAGATGATGATGCTGCACCTGGGGTGGGGCTGTTCCCAGGACTGATCCAGCCAGAGGACAAACAGACTCAGAGCAGCCCTGGGAGGAGAAACTCGGGGTGCTGGTGGGTGAGAGCTGTCCCTGCCCTGGCCATGTGTGCTGGGAGCCAGAAGCCCCCTGTGCTGCCTGAGCCCCCAGCGTGGGCATTCTGCCCCCCTGCCCCACTCAGGTGAGACCCCACCTGCAGAGCTGCCTCCGGCCCCCAGGCCCAGCACAGGAAGGACGTGGAGCTGCTGCAGCCAGGCCAGAGCAGGCATCTGTGTGATCAGAGGGCTGGAACACCTCTGCTGTGAGGAAAGGCTGGCAGAGCGGCGGTTGTTCAGGCTGGAGAAAGGAAGGCTTTGGAGAGACCTAACTGTAGCCTCTGTCATCTTCTAAGGCACTGCTCATCCAGGAGTTACACCTGGCCAACATGAGGTTCAGCCAAAAGCTATTTTGGCTGGTTGTGCTTTCTTTACCCTGGTTTAAGCACTTCTTACATGTCTCACATTGCTTCTTCCTTAGAGTGTTGAGAGCTGATTGATCACATTTGTTAGAGTAAAACCTATTACAGAGGTGATGCTGCAGAATTCAATGTGGATTTCACAGAGGTTCTCCCTGTGATGTTACCTACATTGGAGGAAAGGTTCCAAATATTAAATTTGCTAGTTCTCCTCAAAAACATGGAGTGGGCTTTATGAACAGCAGGTTCTAGAAAAAACCTACCTTAGTCTTAAACATGCCAGAGTGACAGCTACAACAGAACACAGTTTTCAAGACACTAAGTATTTATATCTTTAATTTGAAAGTGCTGTAGAGTTTTCTATCAACAGCATTCATAAAATGTAGATTTACATGAGCATATCAGGAGTCTTCTAAAGCCTGTGCCTTTTGGTAGGTTTGTGGAGGAAATTGTCTATCTGCTAGGACCTATTGCCATAGGACCTTAATCTGTGGTAGGTATCTCTGAAAATCAGGAGCTGGGAAATGGTGCACAACAGTGGTTGTAAGTGCTAGGTCCACCAAATGTCTACAAAAACACCACATATTCTGCCTTCTCAGAGCTTTTTTTGTGGTCTGTGGCCTGACCAAAGCTGTGGTAAAATCCAGTTACTGGTTTAGTGTTCTGTGGCTGGGATGGGCAGGGGATGATAGGCTATCAATAAGGTAACAATCTCTGGAGAAAGGTCAGCTTTGCATCAGCCCCACTTCAGTGGTAATGCCCTTATTCATCAGAGAAATCCTGCCCAAACCACCTCCTGGTCCTTGCTCCCCTCAGTTCAGAAGAGCCTAAGCCTCACAGATCCGTGATGGCATTTTCAATGGGAACTGCTCCTTACTGGAGGAGGAATGGCCAGCCTTACCTCTGGTCTTCTCTTGACATTCAGGAAGTTGCATTGCTTTTAATTTATTAGATTTTTTTTGAGTGTTTCCACTCTTCCTTGTTTCATACAGGCTGTCCTGTGATGTATGTCAACAAACTCAGAGAATGAACTTGAAAGCCTTGGGAGCAACATATTTTAGAAGGCTAGGTAGTGTGTTTTCCACTGTAAAAGTGAGGGTTAACTGGATAAAAGTCCAGCAGATGTCCTAAGTTTGTGTTTGGTGCTGTTATTGCCTTGAGGTCGATCTCACTTCTGTGTTGACATTCCAGATTATAAACAATTTTGTAACAGCTTCAGTACAATGAGACCAAGAGCTGCTTAAAACATTGCCACATGAGTTATGGTATCCAGAGCAGCATTGGTGGGAAACATCTCTTCTACTGGGAACTCTTCTGGTTGTGTGTGTGGAGCAGAGCTGTGAACACAACTGCATGATATTTCAACACAGAATGGGGCTATTGGTAAGGCTGAAAAGTGGGTAAATAACTTAAATATGAAAACCACGAGTTCGAGCCAGGAACACTTGTGTCTTTCTATAGCTGTATCTGCTGTTCAAGCTTAATCTTTATGAGAAGTTCTGAAGTAGTCTAGGCTGCCTGATGTGAAGAGAACTTTGTCTCTTTCATGGTGTCAGTCTGAAATCTGTAAGATTATAAAAGAATTTGTTGGAAATATGTCTGAGAACAGAACTATGATTACAGTTTCTCATTGCTCTTGTTACTAGGTTGTGGTGTGGATGGCAAAGCATTGTTGAGATTTAAGATGGCAAAGATCCTCTGTGCAGTTGTTTGTAGAAAATGTAACATTTCTCTCTCTTAGCCAGCTGGCAGATCCAAATGTATGGGATAGATCTTGAAAATTAAAGGATTGCTTAAACATTGACACTCATGCTAGTACTTGCTGCTAAGGAGAAATGTAGTCACAACTCTCAGTACCACTTCATCCACCACCTCTGTTGTACTGTGAATCACCAGCAAAATCTCTGATTAGAGAATCATTTGCTTTCTTTGCATTGTTTTTATGCATTATATTTATACATTATACAGTAAGTTTAAAAAAACCTTTCAGTCACTTTATGCTGCCACAGCCTGTAAGAGCTCTCTCCATTTACAAGCCAATGACATAGGCCCAGCACATTGCTGCTGTTGTCAGCAGTTTCCAAGCATCCTGTGATTGTTACTAATTACCTCCAGATGCATTTTTCCTGCTTTGACTTGCTGATTTCAGCACGGTTGGTGTCACTTTGAGAGGGTAAAGCCACGTTAAACTGATATCTTTATATGGCTCTCCAGTGCTGCGCTGGGGATGGATTGATGAACCTGCAGCAGCCTGGCTGTGTCCAGCAGCAGGGTCAGTATGTTCCTGCAGAGCCAGGAGTGGCTGTTGAGCAGGCTCACCTCTCCCCGGGGCAGAGAAGCATCATTTACTGGACTGGTGTGTGATGGGAACTCTGTGTCACTCCATTAAAAGAAGTGTCACAGGGCACAGTTTTGTCAGTGAGCTTTTTGTCTAGCCAATGATGGAGTAGAGGAGCCTGGTCTTCTTCCATGCTGGGACATCTCTATCACCCTTGGCTCACCTTCTCTTCCTCACATGCAAGGGGAGACCAAGACTCTGCCAAGTATGGACAAGTTATGTCTTATCTTCTGCATTCAAATTTGCAGCCACAGCTTGTAGTGTTATGTTCCTGGTTTCTTTTTGTGGTCAGCCTTGTAGACAATGGCTCTGGAGAGCCAAATCCATGGACTTTCCTGCCTGTTTTGTATGTGCATCAAAAAGGTGAGAAAAAGAGAACTAGAGCAGGATGTGCATCAGTTTATTATTTGGAAGAGATGGAGAAGGAGAGACATTCCCAATGGCTGTCATCTCCATTACCTGCTCTGGCTTGCATTGCTGGACTCTGTCACTAGACATAAGTGATCCCAGATGTGAAGCTGAACTGAACATAGAGCAGACTCCTCCACCCCTGGGAAGATCAGCCTGACCTTTTCATTACTGTAGATGTATCCAACATCTTAGTTGTAATGCATTGTGCCAGGTAGTTAGTTATTCATATGTGTCACAGATCTGTGGCTAATGCAGGTAACAGGGGTATGTTTAGCAATCCATATTCCTGGAACAATGTTCTGTTTT